TAACATCTCTGGATAGAGGAGGGGAACACAGTAACTGCTCACTTATAAATTCAGTCATCCAACAAACGTCAATTGAGAATTTAGTGTGCCAGACGGGATTTGAAACATTTATTAAATGCTTAAAATATGGTTAAGTGTTTCATGAGAAGAAGGCAGACATTATCCTTCAGAAATTTACAATCTAGTTAGAGCATACACATATGTAACTTTTTAATTATTGCCAGATTTCCAGCCTCTTCTTAAGGAAACGGGGTAATAAAAAGTGGAAGAAAGGAAATGATAAGAATTATGGTTTCTCTTGGTAGGGGAGAGCTGACCAAGAAGTAACATGATGTACAAATACAGAAAAAACTGTCGTATACATACTATCGTATTGTCAGATACATAGAGAGTGTATTTCCGGGTTCTATTCTGTCATGCTGTAGTTTCTTTTTAATAAGTTCTTTTGCATGCTTTTCCCTATAAAGCACTCTTCCCCCTCCCTAACTATGCTTCAGTTTCATCATTATAGCAAATATGCAGTTGCATGTATGCCTTCAATAGAAGTTTATTAGGTATCAGGAATTGTCCTAAGGTTATTAATAGCTAACATTCACTGAATGTTTACGTGCTAGGCTCTTTGATAATCCTTTGTATGCATTATTTCATTTAACCCTCACAATTGCCCTCTGAGTTTGTTATGATTATGATTCTGTTTTTTGGTTTTTGTTTTCAGATTAGCAAACTGAGATTTTAAAAGGTTAATTAACTCTGTCTTTCATCATATACAAAAATCAACTCAAAATGGATCGGAGACTTAAATGTAAAACCTGGCACTATAAAACCACAAAAAAAAATACTGAGGAAACTATAGGACATTGGACTGGGCAAAGATTTTTTTTTTTGGTAAGACCTCAAAAGCATGGGTGACAAAAGCAAAGATAGGCAAATGGGATCACATCAGGGGAAAATATTTGCAAACTATACATCCAACAAGGAATTAATAACCAGACTATATAAGGAACTCAAACAACTCAATAGAAAACACACACACACACATAGAGAGAGAGAAGAGAGACAAATAATTTTTAAATGGGCAAAGATCTCAAAACATCTCAAAAGAAGAGATACAAATGACCAACAGATATATGAAAAAATGCTCAAAATCACTAATCATTAGGGAAGTGCAAATTAAAATCACAATGAAATATCATCTCATTTCAGTTAGAATACCTATTATCAAAAAGACTAAAAAAAAAAAAAAAGAAAATAGCAAATGCTGACAGGGATGCAGATAAAGGGGAACCCTTGTATACTGTTGGTGGGAATATAAAGTAGTGCAGCCATTATGGAACACAGTATGGAGGTTCCTCAAGAAACTAAAAATAAGGCAGGTTGGTGGCTCACACCGGTAATTCCAGCACTTTGGGAGGCCAGGCGGGAGGATCATTTGAGCCCAGGAATTCGAGACCAGCCTGGGTAATATAGTGAGACATCATCTCTAAATAAATAAATAAATAAGAAACTAAAAATAGAATTGTCATTTGCCCCAGCAGTCCCATCACTAGGTATAGGTATAGGTGTATATATATAGGATATATCCAAAAGAGAGGAAATCAGTATATTAAAGAGATCTGCACTCCTAAGTTTATTGCAGCACTATTCACAATAACCAAGATATGGAATCAACCTAAGTGTTCATCAACGAATGAACAGAGAAAGAAAATGAGATATATACACACAATAGAATATTATTCAGCCATAAAAAGAATGAAATCCCATCATTTGCAGCAGCATGGGTGGCCATTATGTTAAGTGAAATAAGCTAGACGTAGAAAGACAAATATTGCATGTTCTCACTCATATGTGGGAGCTAAAAAAGTAGATGTCATGAAGGTAGAGAATAAAATGGTGGTTACCAGAGGCTAGGAGGGTGGAATGAAGAGAAGCTGGTTAAGGGGTATAAAAATACAGTTCAGTAGAAGTAATAAGTTCTAGTATTCAGTTGTACATTAGGGAAATTATACTAAACAATAATTCGTTGTATATTTCTAAATAATTGGAATAGAAGAATTGTAATGTTCCCAATACAAAGAAAAGATAAAAATATTTCAGGCGATGGATATACCCAGTACCCTGATTTGAACATTACACATTGTAGGTATCAACTATCACATGTATCCCCCCCAAAATATGTACTACAATTATACATGAATTTAAAAGAAATATGTAAATTGTGGATAAATTTGATCAGTTATTTATAATAATCAAAATTCTGTCTTCTAGGTATTAGATTTTGGCATTACACACAGGCTCTAAACTTCTAATTATTTTTAATATACTTATGAAATAAACTATGATTTTTCTTAATATTGTATATTAGCAGTCAACCCTAGAGTGTGGTTTTTCTTTTTCTTTTTCTTTTTTGAGACGGAGTTTCGCTCTTTGTTGCCCAGGCTGGAGCGCAGTGGCATGATCTCAGCTCACTGCAACCTCCGCCTTCCAGTTTCAAGTGATTCTCCTGTCTCAGCCTCCCGAGTAGCTGGGATTACAGGCATGCGCTACCCAGCTAATTTTGTATTTTTAGTAGAGATGGGATTTCACTATGTTGGCCAGGCTGGTCTCGAACTCCTGACCTCAGGTGATCCACCTGCCTTGGCCTTCCAAAGTGCTGGGATTACAGGCATGAGCCACCGTGCCTCTCCGAGTGTGAGTTTTATTCTCAGATCTATATATATGCCTAAACTACATTTTATTTCAGTGTATTATGTACGTAATATAGGAGAGGAGACAAGAACTCAACATAAAATTAACAGAAAATGGACATGTAATAAGATGTCCGTTATATATTTGATGCTTACTATGCATCAGAATCTTTGGGGGAGCTTTTTGAAAAAATGCAGATGTAAAGTTCCTATCTTTTCAGAGATTCTAATTCAGTGGTCTTGGGGTGAGGCATGGGTATTGCTCTAGGCATATTTTTAAATTTCAGATTTCACATTGTTCCAATGTGTAGCCAGGATTGAAAGCCATTGTATATCTAGTTTCCTTGGAGCATAGGCAAAGGAGGAGTCAAAGAGAATTGACTTTTTATATCATGCACTCACTAGGAGAGAGAGGGAGTCTGAAACTGGGAGATGTGAACAACCTTTTCTAGAAAGATAGGTACTGTCTGCTGTGTCTCACAAAAGTCTGGATTAGATTTTGCTTAAGACAATTCACATTTCTTTGCTCTGATTACTTACTTCGCAAGTAACATTCTGATTATTACTTCAGCGTCCTTGATACTGAAAATTTATAAAAAGATGTGCCTGAAATAAGGTGTTTGAGCATTCTTTCTAGATACTTGAGTGTCTAAAATTGTCATTCTAGGTTATCCATTAGTATACCTTGTAAGTTTGCTTACAAGTGGAACTGACAAGATTGAGTTTTGAAGCTGTGAGGCTGAATGCCAGATCCTAATTCCTGGTAAATTTACCAAATTAGCTGGGTGAGGTGGCTTATCCCTATAATCCCAAACCTTCTGGAGGCCGAGGCGGGTGGATCTTGTGAGCTCAGGAATTTGAGACCAGCCTGGGCAACATGGTGAAACTCCATCTCTACAAAAACTACAAAAATTCGCTGAGCATGGTGGCATGTGCCTGCTCAGGTATTTGGGAGGCTGAGGTAGGAGGATCACGTGAGCCTGGGAGGTTGAGGCTGCAGTGGCCCGAGATAGTGCCATTGCACTCCAGCCTGGGTGATAGTGTGAGACCCTGTCTCAAGAACGAACAAACAAACAAAGTATTAAATTAGTGGCCCTGTATTATCTATTGACAGTTAGATATTCTAAATTTATTGATGTGAAATTTATAAAGCCCTGAAGAATTTGTAATACAATTTTGCAAAAGAAAAAAATAAAAATATGTAATTAA